AATAGAATTACTTCTACTCAAAGTAAGCCATGAGTAATATGTCATACATACACGCTTTTCAGACATTATCCTTCTAAATCAATAAACAACTGTTTTCCTTAACTTTTTATTTTGAAATCATTTTAGGTGTACAGGAAAGTTGCAAAAAACAGTGGAGTTCAAATATAGCCTTCATCCTCCTTCCTTAATAGTAACAATTTATCTAACCATAGTGTAAGTATCAAAACCAGAAAATTAACATTTATATAATACTATTAATTAAACTACAGGTCTTTGAATTTCACCTGTTTCCTCCTTTTTCTGTTCCAGAACCTATTCCAGGATCTAATACTGCATGTGGTTGTGTCCTTAGTTTCCTCCCATTTTGTGACAGTTGGGAAGTCACAGTACTGTCATGCTCCACAAACGACGGTTCAGTCAATGAGGGACCACATTGTCGATGGTGGTCCCATAAGATTTTAATGGAGCTGAAAAATTCCCATCACCTAGTAACGTCGTAGCCATCATAATGTGGCAGTGCAACACATTATTCACATTTGTAGTGATGCTGGTGTAAACAAACCTATTGTGCTGCCAGTCATATAAAAGTCTAGACATATAATTATGAAAAATATGTAATACTTGATAATGATAATAAATAAATGACTATGTTACTGGTTTACGTATTTTCTATACTATACCTTTTATCATACTCTTTCTACTTACAACAAAGTTTGCTGTAAAACAGCATGCTGTGGCAGCAGCAGCCTCATCTTATTTACTGCATCTCTTGATTATACGATTATCTCTTCTGCTTGATTTAATCTTATGTTGCCTATAATTTAGTGTAGCGTCACAGTACAGTGTTATAAAGTCTACAGTAGTGGATAGTAAAGTCCTAGGCTTTCACATTCACTCACCACCCACTCACTGACTCATCCAGGGAAATTTCCAGGCCTACAAATTCCCTGCATGGTAAGTGCCCTATATATGTGTATCATTTTTTATCTTTTATACTGTATTTTTACTGTACCTTTTCTATGTTTATATACACAAATACTTACATTGTACTACAGTTGCCTACAGTATTTAGTACAACATGCTGTACAGGCTTGTAGCCTAGGAGCAATAGGCTATACCATACAGCCTAGGTGTATAGCAGACTATACCATGTAGGTTTGTGTAGGTGCACGCTATGATGTTTGCACAATGAAAAAATCACCTAACAACACACTTCTCAGAACATATCCCCATCACTGAGTGACACATGACTATACAGTCAATTTTCTATAACATAAAAATATACTTGTTTAGGGCCAGCCGAGTGGCTCAGTTGGTTAAGAGCTCGCTCAAGAGTTTGAGCTCTGAGCAACTGCGGTTCAAGTCTAGCCCGAGCTGAGCAGCTGCTGAGCTGCCAACAGGTAGCAGGATGGCTCAGCTAGAAAAAAATAAAATTAAAAAAATATATATTTGTTTATAAATATGTATTATTACTAATAGTTTCGTATTATATAAAAATAGATAAAAATACAAATGTTAAAGGCCTGGAAATCCTTATATTTTCTTTCTTTATCACAGTAGATTCTCCTATATGCCCCATTTTGATGTAGATAATAGGAATTTGGCTTTCTCTACCAGATCATTTTAGGAAAAGATCACATGGAAAAGTGAGACACATTCCTACTCTGGGTACCACCATTCCAAAAAGATATCAACTTAAAATTGCTATATTCCATAATTTTCAAGCATAATTTAAAGCAATTGTGCCCATTTCAAAGACTATTTAATTCTATCCACATGTGAGTTAAATATTAGAAAGTCTTGTCAGACATAACTTTTGACCTACAAACTAACTAAAACAAGATCAAAACGTGAAAAAAATTAAGAGAAAGAAAGTTTAAAAAATGATTTACTCAAGTGAATATCCACTCTTCTGTACCTTTTTAACATGTGATTTAAATGATCATAGACAGTCCTAAAAATTACTAACTATCCATTCATTCCTTTCAAATATATGAAATATGAGAGAAACCTCAAATTCACTGTAATTAATACCCAGGACATTACAAAACATTGACTATTTTAAAGTCTTAAACACCAGCAAGGCCTTTGAGGCTAAATTAAGCCTATCGAGTCAGATAGTCATTACCCAGCTTAATCTCTGGCAATTAGAACAAGGCATGCAGTATTACTATTTGATTCCTATAGAATCATTGCTGCATCACTTAAAACTTCTTTTTCTAACCTCAATTACCTTAGAAAAGGAATTCTGCTGCTGGAAACAGTGAAAGACAATGTATTTTTAAGTGTCAATCAAACATTGTATTTATAGCTTAGATAGTCTTCTAACTCTGGGGAAGAAGGCGAAGAAATGTTAATTTAATATTAATGGAACTCATTATCCTTTCTAGAAGAATTCGTAAGAGTAACAGGGTTATTCAGAATACAGAGAATGAGCAATGTAATAGCAGAAGTCAGGTCTTGGTCTGACAGGTCTGACAAGGTCCCCAACCCCAAGACAACATAAGACCCTAACTTCTCAGAACATATTAGGAAGCAATGGTGGATATAAAGTGTTTCCTGGTTTTCCCTTTATTTCACTACCAGTTGTTCTCAGGTTCCTCCACCTGAGCTCTCTCTAATGTTGGGGCTTCTTTGAGGCTCAATCCTGGGCCCCCTTCTCTTTTCTCTTTACTATTTTCCTAACATAAATACCAATTTTAGGTTGATGTCCTCAAATTTACCTCAGCCTAGCCTTCTGGGTTACAAATTCACTATACAACTACCTTTTTAAATCTCTCCACATTTCAACTATAACATATCTAAATAAGAACAGCTAGTAAGACAGCAAAATATATTGAGCACTTATTATGGGCCAGACCCCATTCTAAGCATTTTTCATGTACTAACTTATGTAATCATCACAACAATCCCATGGGGCAGATACTATGCTCATCCCTATCTTTCAGAGGGGGAAACTAAGGCACACAAAGTAACTAGCCCAATGTTAACACATTTACTACATAGCAGGTCGGATTCAAACTAAGGTCTTCTGGCATCAGAGCCTGTATTCCTAACAACTATGCTAAGCTAAGGCACTTAAATCAAAATCGAGTTTTCTCTCTCAGGTCTCTCTCCCCAATAAAGAGGCAGGTAGTTCACGCAAGCTGGAAAATAGGAATCACCTATTGATTCCTCCTTTTCCGTCACTGCTCATACCAGCAAGTTCTAACGCCAAAACCCAGCCTCATCCCCGATGTAGCCTGTATTGCAGAGAAATGTCCCCAAAACCAGTCTATCCGCCTCTGTGCACGCATATCCAGTCGCCTAAATGCCTCATCCATTCAGCAACAAAAGGGATGTCCTTAAAACAAATCAGTTCATAGCCACTAAATTACTTAAAACCACTGAATAGCTTTTTCTCACTCTGAGGATAAAATCCACAAGTCTTTTGGAAGTGTGAAAATTAATAAACGGACACTTCATTTAAAACGGAGTCGGAAGGCTAGAAGGGGGAACTCTCCCACTCCTGTCACTCAACAAACACTACTGACTCCAATAGGAAGAGACATACCTTGCATTTTCAACAGGAAGTGATACTACTTGATTACCTCAGCAGAAGGAAGAAAAGATTGCTCCTTGCCCAGTGCCAGCTCAGCCAATTGGAGATGGCCATAACTGAGCCAATGAAAATTCACTGTACTTTGAACTTCTAGTTTCTCCCAGGGGACTCTTCCTTTACAACAGCCCCTTCCAACAGGCATTCCTCTTTTGTTTCTCCATTAGACCCCATGTCCTGAATTGCAATTCTTTGTTGTTCTGGAATAAACCCATTTTGCTGGAGATGTATCTGGCTGTCCATTTGTTTAAGGCCGACAAAACTTCCATTTTATCTCAACCTGCATCTTGAGCCACTCTCCCCCCTTACTCACTTTGCCCCAGCCACAGTTTTCCCCCAAAATGTATTTAAAGTTCTCCAAAGCCAATGACAAATAAATTTGCATGACCTTTTGTTTGGAATATGCACAGCACTGCCCCTTTCAGTTAGCATGGACACAGCGTGACTATAATTAGAAAATGTTCAGGTTCCTGTGATCTTAGAGCTGGGTGCCTAGCCTTCTCCCAGTTTACCCCACATTCACATCCCTGTGTATGTTTCTACTTATCAGAAAAAGGCCCCAAATCCACCAAATAACCAGCAACATAGTTTCTAGAATGCAGAATGATCACCTCCTGGAAGAAAGGTAAATAATAAAACACAACAGAAGACACTATAAGATATGCATTATCCTTTTAATCCTCCTTCCTTCGTTTACTCTCTGTCCTCCCCAAAAGACCAGGATAAAAACACTATGACAAAGCAATAATTTGGGCACGTTAACGTAAGAAATTAAAAAGACAATTAAGGGGCCGGCTGAGTGGCTCAGCTGGTTAAGAGTGCAAGCTCTGAGCAACAGGGTCGCTGGTTCGATTCCCACATGGGTCAGTGAGCTGCGACTGATCTGAGCTGCAACTGAGCTGCCAGCAGGTGGCAGGATGGCTCAGCTGGTGAGAGCCCGTGCTCCTAACAAGGTTGTGGGTTTGACTCCTGCATGGGATGGTGGGCTACACCCACCCGCAACTAAGATTGAACACAGCACCTTGAGTTGAGCGGCTGTGAGCTGCTCAATGGCGGTCGGATGGCGACAGGGCTTGGAGCTGAGCTAGCTGCGCCCTCCACAACTACGACTGAAGGACAACTTGGCTGTTCCCCTTCCCCAACTCCCCAACACTATTCCCCTTCTCCAATTCCCCAATAAAATCTTTAAATAAATAAATAAATAATACCTTATTTAGGCTCTTAGAACACGGGCAGCACATAAATATTTGTTGATTTGATTTGCAACAATGAAAAGAAAGTTAAATATCAGTTCAAATGGGCCTACCAATCAATATTTGTAACTTAATAGGAAGGACTGGCAGCCGGCTTCCCTGCCCTTGAAAATACCAAAATATCTACAATTGCTAACTGATGTACTTACTGGCATCATCCATGAACTCAAAGTCACCTCCTAGTTCAGAACTTGGAAAGTGATACTGATCGGGGTCAGCCAGGGCACTCAATAGAATCAACAGTACCACAGCATTGATGATCTGCAATAAGAAAGAAAAAAAAAATAAGCAACATACCGAACATAAAGTCCTTATAGAAGAAAATTATACTGACCACATGGAATTTAACTTCCACAGAGACTTAACTTTCAGCACGAAGCTCCACCTACAGGGGGCAGGCAAACATTCCCAAGGCTGAAACACTGCCAGCCCACTCGGATGCCGCCAAGGGCATGTGGATCGGTGCCCAGATGATGGTTGGATTTCACCTGCCCCCTCAAGCCAGCACCCTAGAGCAGTGAACAACGGTCACAAACATGCATGCAGCAGCCCTAACATCAGTGGGTGAAAAAGCACAGAAACTCTCATTAGCCACATACACTCTAATGAACAACCACAAGTTTTTGTAGGTGATAAAACATTTTTCATAGGTTCAATCAGAGCTTTGAGACCATCTAGGAAACAGTGTTGGAAAATGAATGGAAAACTACTTAGTGGCAAAGCCAGCATCTTTACTCCTGCAGTAGCTCACGAGTCCCTTTCTGTCCTAGGCCCACATTTCTGTCTTCTAGAAATTGCTGAATATTTCCTTTGGGGACTTCAAACTCAGATAGTCTGAGCAGAAATCATCTTCCTTAACATTTCCCACCTTTGCTCCTCTTTTTCTGTTCCCTATCTTAAAAAATAGCATCACCATTAATAATTAAAAGTAGAAAACACTCAGGCACTATGCTAAGTGCTTTATGCAGACGCTCTGTCTTAAGCCCTTCAATAGTCTAATGAAGTGATAACTTACCCCATTTTTATTTTTTTTTAATTTTTTTTTTTGTCGTTGCCATTTTTTTTTTCTTACCCCATTTTTAGATGAGAAAACTGAGGCTCAAGGGTTAAGAACATTGCCAAAGGTCAGGCAGCTAATCAATTGTGGAAATGAGATTTGAATCTAGAAATTTCAATTTCAAAACCTAATCTTTTTTTTTTTTTTTTTTAAAGATTTTATTGGGGAATTGGAGGAAACAGCGTTGGGGAATTGGGGAAGGGGAACAGACAAGTTGCTGTCCTTTTGTTCTTCAGTCTAGTGGAGGACATCGCTTCACTGGTCCATGTTGGCATTGTGATCACTGCGCTCTTCCCAGCTGAGGCAGATAGGTCACTGGCCATTGGACGACCGCTCACGGCAGCTCACATTGGCTGCCAGCCACTCACAGTAGCTTACGGTAGCCCACTGCAGCCTATGCCATCGCCGGCACTCAGGAAAGCCCAGCTCCAGGTTGAGCTGTTGTTTACCATCTTAGTTGTAGAGGGCGCAGCATCACCGGCCCATGTGGGATCCAAACTGGTGGCCCTGCTGCTCAGAGCTCACACTCCCAAGCCAACTCTTAACCAATGAGCCACTCGGCCGGCCCCTGAAAACCTAATCTCTTCAAGTCTCCTGTCATCCTTGAAACCTGACTATCTTTGGGCTTTCCACCTTCCTTATCCTCTCCATCCAACCAACTGCAAAATTCTGACCATTTTACTTCTGTATTTCTACTTCCTTTATTTTTCCTAACTGCCTTTGCTGCATACTATGCACATGTACCAACTATGATGGGCTGAGACTGGATTGTTATTCCTCCTTTTTTCTGGGTTTAGAAACTTACGATAGAACTCTGTCTTACTCTTGTCAAAATGGAAAGAAAATATGAATAATCTTCAAAAATGGAAAAAATTCTTTTACTAACTAAAGGCATAGCCTACTATAAAAATCATATTTGGAAATACCTATTTACAGAAGAGGTTCAAATAGTCAGGTTATTTGTTTTACAAAATATCCACTTGGGAATCCATTTTTAAATGGCCGTGCCAAGTGGTTAGGATTGTTTAAGATTTGGAATAACTTTTTCCTTCCTCTATCTTCCAAATTTCCTACTATGGTCTGACTGCTTTTTGGGGACTATAGATAGCAATTTCCCAGGACATGCATCTATAACTAATTTAAATAGATACTGTAAGCATGTGGTTAAAATTTTTGAGGTACAAGAGGGTATAAAGTGAAAAGTAAACTCCCTCCTATTTCTATCGGCCAATCACCCTCCCCACAGTGATTATTAGAACTATCCATTTCTTGTTTCTTTTCAAAGATCAAAAAACTTCATGGTACATTTTAAAGAAGGTGTTATTAGCAAAACTGAATTAAAGAAAACTTTTTTGAACACACGTAAGGCTTAACAGAAGGTACAAGCTAGTCCTACAACTGGCACATGACATTTAGCCAAGATGTTCTTTGAAAAACTGTCAAGTTTTCTTGGCATTTTATTCCCTCCATTCTCTTATCTTTCGAAAAAGCAGTCCAAAGATTATGGCTAAAATAAGATCAGATGAAATAACCTCAGAAGATTTTGAAAAAGTGAAGCACCATACAAAGGCAATGTACTTGTTACTGTAATGGAGTCAGTTTTAAGGCTGAAAAGGAAAAACATACATTTGGGATTCATGGGCTGTGCTTTCATGAAGGGTTGAGTAGGGAGGATAAGAGAAGAAAAGGTGACGTGGTGCAGTGAGTGTGTCTGGTTACAGAAATATGGCCCAGATTTAGGGATCTCACAGGGCTAACTGTGGAGTTCGGATTGTATTCTAAGTAACCAGACACCAGTGGAGAATATTAAGGAAAGGAAGAATGTGATCTGATTAAGGTAAGTGGCATATAATAGCCATTCAGATTAGTTCCCTTATCTCTTCACACCTGAACAAGAACTATATAAAAGCTCTTGGCTGGCATCAGAAAATTACCTGGTTTCCAGATCTTCTGAGCCAGTGTGTTATGCAGCTGCTTTCTGTCCTTTCAGTTTCAACAGAACTGTCACCTCTTAATCAGCTCGTTATTATCCCCTTGCCTGGCTTACTTATCATAATACATTTTCTAATTGCCTACAGTAGATCAGGTCTTTGGTAAATGCTTAGGAAGAACTCTCCAGGACTCAGAATATAAGATTAAGTAAATCATGGACCCAATAACACAAAGCATAAAGCAGTACACACAACAAGAGTTCAGAGAAAGAACAATGAAGTGCAGAAAAAGACATTACAGAAGCCTGAGGCTGAGATGGGGTCACTGGGAAGTACAATGAAGATGGTAACTTTAGACAGGGGCTGGAAAGATGAGAAGGTTTTAGAACCTCAGAGGCATTAAAAAGAACAAGTTCAAGTCCAACTAAGGCCACTGGGACAGGGGCCTGTACTGAAAATAGCAAGTAGTTCAATTTGGTTGGAACATAATACACGGAGGGAAGTGTTAGGAAATGAAACTAGAAATGCAGGCTGGAGCCAGAGAGTGGAAGGCCCTCAAAGCCAGGATAGTAATTTGGGGCTTTCTTCAAATAGTTAATGAAGATGCCTAAAAGGTTTTTGAGGTGGGATATGACATGATCAAAGCGACGTCATTAGGAAGTTCAAGCTGGAAGAGGCCAGGAGGCTAAAACGGAGGCAGGAAACCAGTCTGGAGACTATTGCAATAGTGTCACTGAAAGCTAATTAGGGTTTCATTCACTCATCTCCAATTCTCATGCCAACCCTGTAAGATAACACGTGATCTTACGTGTTAGTTTGACAGGTCAAGTGACTTTACCTTAGGTCCTATGTGTTGAAGAGCCATGGTTTGAACCCCAACGCCTTTCCACATGGAGGCAGAATTATTAGACTTAGAAAGTAGCTAGATGCAAAGATAAAGGGAAGCAAACAAGACTCAGATCTCAAGCCTTAGCATTATCAGAAATAAGGAAGATCATTTGAAGGACTAGGAAAAAGTACTTGTAGAATGTCCAAATAATCCTGTTTTTATCTTATTCATCTGGCCTCTAATCCTTTCTTTGTATTCAACCTTTGATACTCAAACAGGGCCCTCTGTTTTTGTTTGCCTGCTCAAGTTCTAACAGTCTGATATCTAGTCTTATGTGCATTCCAGCTCTCTCCTGCTCAGTCTCTGAACATGTCACATCATTCCTGACAACAGAGTTCTGACCACTGGTTTGGTGTGTTCGTCTCCAGAGTGAGTCCTGGTTCCTATACTTAGCTGTGCCCTAGATGCTCTGATAACTATCATCTGCTCCTATATCTCCAGCCCTATGTCCCTACTATCTGTGCTCATAAGCCATAGACCTAGGGCTGAGTACCCTTCCAGGTGCCCTTGTTCTTTGTGAAATAGTCCAGAGAAAGAAGGCATATACAGAACGAAGATGAATGGTAAGGTCATTATACATTACAAATGACTCACCATTTTGCTCTTTTAATCACAGAGTGAATATTTCATAATAGAAGGAATGTGTCGACACACATTTTCTGCATTATTATGTAAAATCTGAATTGTTGGATGGGAATTTGGCACACCATAGATGATCTAAATTCAGTGGGTTGACAGGGTGATCCATGAGGACCCAGGTCTGTGCAAAGAGGTGGAGCAGGGTAGAATTAGCTATGGCAACAACTAAACACGGTCACAGGGAAAAGGTCAAATACAAGTCAAAGACCCAAGAACACTGGATAAGAAGTATTTCCCGAAAGAGAGACAATGGAAATCACCCAATCATCCATTCTGACCAAGAATTAAATGTCACCACAAATGAGAACCAAGAAGATGGTAAGACTTGCCAGGAGAAGATTATGTAATGACCACAGCTAATCTAAATGAAAAGAAAGAGAGGGCATGTTATTTTCTCATTCAGTTAATGCTCACTTGCATTTGGACTTTCTTTGTCCGTTTTGGTAGGTTGTGTACAAACTGTTCGTATTCTATTTACAAAGCGTTCCTTTGGTGTCACATGTTTTTTCCTTGTTCTTGATAATGATTACTTCCATATGTAAACAAATTCAACTCCCATCCAATTATTTAAGTGGTGTTTAGGCCCTTGTATTTTCTTCTGAGATCCAAAGTGCTCTTCACCCTTAAGTCAGATATCAGATCCTAAATGAGCAGTTTAAGTCTCAACAACTAAAACCGTAAAACGTAATTACCAGCTGTTTTTCAAAGCCTCAATAAAAGAAACTTAAGAACACACAAAACAATT